CTTAATTATTTGAGTATAAACAGAGCCATCGAAAGCTTGGTATAGGTTCGGGGTAGGGAGGCTCTTTTGCCTTATTATTATTATTTGAACAAATGAAATACTAGAATTTTTATTTATTAGTAAATAGCAGTGTTAAGGATTTTATGTTTTGTTTGTAAAAATAACACGAATTTATGAAGATAGAAATCACTATAAGACCCCGGGCCTGAGGAAAATTCCCAGCTTTCCACCCTCTCGACGGCCCTACCTGTAAAGCTAAACTAATTATAATTTTCTATATTTAATTCAATAAATTATAGATCATCAGGACCTATATCACACAGGCTATCAATTTTATTTTGTACAGCTCTAATGTTTTTTATATGTTATTCATTCTTTTCATAAAAAATGTTTTATACTATTTTCAAAATTTATCTTTCTTATAAATTTTTATTACTACTGTATATAAAAAAAATCAGGTTGGCAAAGTTGTAATTCTATACGAAGAATTGATATAAATTTTAAATAATAATTTTTATAGATCATCTCCGGTAGTGGCTTAACAATGATTAATATGATAAAGATGAATTCGACATTATTAACACTAATCTTATTTAATAATATGACATTTATTTATAATATCGTATATTAAAACTATAATTTTCAACTTTAAAACTAGACATTTTCATATCGATATTTTGAAAACATTATCTCAAAAATCATATATTTTAAATTCGCATCTCGCACCTAAATTTGAATTAAGTATAGTTATTACTTCAACATCCTTCCATTTACAAATTCATGAATAGAAATTTCGTAGCATTAAAATCTTATAAATCATTCATAATAATTATTTAGCATAAATTTCTTTATAATATTACCTTTAATTATATTATTTAAATATGAGTTATAGAAATGAATTGAATTTTAAATTATTTTTTTTATATATAAGTTTGCAAATAGTAAATAAACCAACGAAATTTTTTGAAAGTAAATAAATTTTTCAATGTAAAAAAGCATTTTTATATATGAAAAATTTGAAACTTGAATTAAGTTGAGGTAAAGACAGTTTGTTCATATCATTATTGTATTCTCAACGACCAATTTAACATTCATTTTTCTTCAATTTCCTATTCGACTGTACATCATTATGACTTATTTTGCCCTTTTTTTAAATAATGAAGTCTTTCCAGTTATTATTATCATCTGCCATTAATCAAACTAACTTACAAATTTCATATTTGCTGTTTGGTAGTTGCTACATTTTTATTTTCCGACATTTCTTAATAATTTTTGAATTAATTTATTACATAAAAAAGTTTAAAACTTTTTAATCTTTTTAAATAATTGAGTTTTATAATTATAATCACTTAAAAATCATTTTAAAATATTATCCAATTTAATTTATTTATTAAGTTTCAGATATATTTAATTTTTTTCTAATTAAAATTATTCTTTTCTAGTAAATCTGCTTAATAGAAATTATATATTACAATGAATACTATCGTTAGAATATCAACAACTTTCATTGAGTGAACTTATAAAATTTATCGTAAAATTCTACAAAATAATGAGATAATTTAATCATTTTGATATAAAAAATAATTTATAGGCCTATATCTTATAATTAATAATCTTTTTAGAATTATACTAAAATATGAAATAATATTGAAATATAGTATAGATGCTAACAATAAGTATAAGAAATTCTAATGGATACATGTCATTCTAAGAGCTTGGACATTAAAAATTTGAAAGAAAATTGATTAGAAACGTAATTATCTTCAGGGCAATCGAAGTAGAAAGAGACAGAAGTAGAAGTATTTTCATTTATTTTTTATTTTTCCAACCAATCGTCATTGGCATCTTTTCATTTGATATCTCAAATATATCGCGAAAAATGTCATATATTTATAAGAATCTTTTCTGTCATCATCTTCCAGAATTTATTTATCGTTTCTCCCTATATGTATTTATATAATTTTTATTATAGCTAATTAAAATTGTATTATATTAATATTTTTATTAGTTATTCACGATAAGTAATAAAAATATGACTAAAATAGAATTTATTGATTTATTTAATATTTTCATTATATAAAAAGATAATTATTTAGACACCTCTATATTACTATAATTATAACTTACATAAATGTATCTAAATTTATCATTATTATTCAAATGTAGATTTAGTATAACGCGTTATCACATTCTAGATCTAGTATTCGAGCTAATCTATCTAGCTTTGACATTTTATGAATTCATTTACTTTCTATTTTTTATGTTAATAATACTTATTGTAATTCTCTATTCTTGTTGCGTTCATGAAATCTATTACTGTATTATTTTAAGCGTGAGAAATGGATCACTATATTAGTATTTTAACGAAATATAAAAACTGAAAATAAGCTACAATTCTCTAAGTTATATTGTTATAAAACAATAACATTTGATTAGGTTTGACATCGGTTTTTATATTAGATGACGAATGTTTAGATGTTTCTCCGCCTCCAGCAAAATATCTCAAAAAGATTTACTGTCACACGTACAGTACATTCTATAGACTTTTAGAAATAAAGTAGCTCCAGGGATTTTTCCCTCATTGAAAGATAAGAAGCACTTGATAGTGATACTTTTTTCTGAAAAGAAGTTCTTAAACTTCTTTTCTCAGTATTTTTCCCTCCTGTAGCAATATACAGTATATGTATATATATATTTATTTAGCCTATCAATTAAAATTTCATACGTCGACCGGATATAGAAATTTTAGTAAGCAATTAAAATTTATATCATATAAATATATAACCTTATAAAAGCATTTAAAATTTATATTTATTAAGAAATTATTTATGTATACTTTTCTCATTTTTGACTTTTTCTGCCTTGTGAGCAATAAGAGGGCCTTTTTAAATCATACCATTCTTGTGTTCGGGAGGGTCCGCAATGAGGGCAGGTTTCATATATCCGGGACATCACCCACTAAAAATTCCTACTTGCCCGGATCAGATCCTAAGTATCCCAGAGCAGTAGGTTGACACTTTAATCGCCTCGCCCATCCGGCCATTAATGTACAGTATATACTTTTCTATGCAAGCAATTGCAAATAAAAATTTAAAAATTTATTAATAAGTTATATTATTAAGAATATTAATAATATAACTTATTATTTTGGAATTTTAAAAATAAACACTGTAATCTTGACATGAATCCATGCGGATTTCTTTATCAATTAAAATATGATAGATACAGACGAGCTGTCAAAATAATATAGACGTATCGTACATTTTCCATTTAAATCTGACTCTCGTCTAGTTTTGATAGGAATTTTATCCTTTACAAACAGTGTAAGATATATAAAAAGAAGGACATCGCAAAATGAAATGTCAAATTGATGAAAATGTTACGATAAACTGAAGAAAAGCATAAAATATATATATTGTATATGATAAGAATTCTGTCTCCAGTACTGAATAATTCAAAAAAAAAAAAATCAAGTCGAAGTGATTTTCTTTATTAAATCTGTATTTATAGTTTGTGGTAAATCGGTAAATCCATTAGAAAATCAGAAATATATAATAGAAGTCACTTTAATATTTCATTAAATTTTAAATAAAATTATTATATTAATTTAATGTTCGATGAGACATCAAGTTGTAGACGCTGTATAACTCTCCTATTTAAAAACTAAACAGAAAATTAATAAAGAAATTGAGAAAGTAATATTTTAATTAAATTAATAATTAAAGCATTAATAACAATTAAATAGTTTCTCTTAGTTAAATTGCTTGTGGCTTTATTGAGATCTTCAGAATCAATTGTACTTTTCCAGAGGCCATATCTCACATCTTATGCAGATGATAGCTTAAATTTTGAACTCGAGTTTAAAACTAAATAACATAATTATCAAATTTAACTTTAATTATATGAATTTCTACGACAGTAGGCTAAGAGTAATGAGTCATCTTTTTAATTTTAAAATCTAAAGATGTTGAAAAACTTGATTTTTCTTTTAAAATATATTTAAATGTATAAACATACTAAATTAAAATTACTTAAATTTTTATTTTTAGTATAAGAATAAAATATCCTGAACATTAAATAAAGTTTAATAAGTGTATTTGTATATTTATATTACAAACCTTAAATACATATATACATATATAGGCTATATATAATTTTGATTTTATAAATATAAAAATTCGATAGCAGTTACCGATTTAACTATATGTGAGGAACAATCAATTTTGTACGACATTTTAATTCCAAAATTGTGTCTCGATTGATTTGATTTACGATGCTGCACCGTAATAATCTGGAAAATCTAAAAAAGTCACGATTTAGACAGTAAGTTATGTCCATGAAGGGGATTTAAAAGGTTTTTGCGCACGTAACCCACTATCGATCCGATGGGTTTGGTGTTTTCATACTTCAGGGCGAGGTCGCTAATCTTAGTAAATGGAAAGAGGTGCTTTAATGAGAACATACTGTAGTTACTACACCGCCGTTCGAGTATCACTATTGCGCCTATAAACATCCCTAACCTAAATTCGGAAGCATACTGTAAATTCAAAATAAAATATATAATAGCCTATATAAATTGGAATCTTATTTTAAGTTTCTATAAATTCTCACTTTAAAGAACTTTTTATTCTGCATTTACTCAAACTTTAATCATTTTCAAGACACTTCATAGATTTATTTTTTTTTCTTAAAAATAATTTATTTAAAAAATGATCTACATAAATTTTAAATTATAATATATCATCATTTAAAATCTAAAAGATTCGGATCTATTACTATCTTTTAACATATATTTGACAGTAAATTAATCATAAAAAGAGTTACGATCATATGCTTAAAATAACTATAATATAGAAATCATCAAAGAGATTTGTGGTTTGGAGATCAATGTCCCGCCCTGTCGAGAAGTAGATAAAAAATCCGATATTCTATTTTTAATGAAATCATTGAATTTTTTGACCAAAAAAAATCCTTAATTTGTCTTTCTTTTATTTCTGTAGGTATTTTCCGAAATGGTAATTCAAGATATTCAAACTGCGATACAGAAAGCCCTAAACGAAGCACTGAAGAATCGAAGAGTTCAAGGGACTGCCAATGATGGTGTTCGTGAAGTTTTTTATGTTTTCAAGGTAACAAACAGCGCTTTAGAGAACGTTACAACGACTAACCACACTGAAGATGATTATTATTGCGAAGAATGGAGTGACGCGAAACACGTTCTGTTTCAAAGTGCTAATCTGTGTTACGCAGCAGCTTTTTTAGTTCCGCACAATTTTACCTTCAGCATTCTCATAAAACGTATTATGCTAACTGTTGGATTTCTTATGGTGACTTTATGGGCCGGTGTAGATGTCTGTGCACCCGATATCTTCGCTTGGAACCTAACATTTGTGCTCACTAACTGCGTCCATTCTTTTTACTTGGCATATAAAAACATCCCTCCTAGAATTGATCCAGAATTGATGGACCTCTTTAACAAAGTCTTCATACCACTCAAAGTGAACAAGAAGAATTACAAACAATTGATAAAAGAAGCTGAAATTTTGTCAGTGGACGAGGACGAACATTATGCCATTGAAGGAATCACTTCCGCAGATGAAAGGTTGTCCATTCTGTTGAGTGGCAGGTAGGCCATTTATCTACCAACAATTTTTATACAGGTTGAAAAAAAAATCACTAGAAGACGATGCATCTCTCTTTGGTTCAAAATTGCGGAAAATTAACAATTATTCATGTATTCTATAATTAAATTTGAAGGATATGAGTTTTTCAATTAGTAATTTTTCAAAATTTTCTTCTCGCAAAATGACATTTTTCTGTTTGCCTTTAAAATTTACCTGTTTTTGAATTGTACTTATAGAATGAAGGCAACCTGCGAAGATGTTCTCTTGCACTACATAAATCCAAATGAATTTATAGATTCTCCCGAATGGGAAGCATGTCCAACAGATAGCGATAAATTATTTCAGGTAGAGTAATTTAATATGTTTTTCTTTGCTTCTAAGATAAATGTCCTTGCTTTAATTTCAATTAACTTTTTATATATATCATCAGTTAACATGTTTACTTATTAGAACACATTAAATAATAGTATCCAACCGACAACTGCAATTTTATATATGTTCTTTCTAACTTAGTTGATTATTTTACTACTTTGTCAATATTTGTTAGAGTCGTTTATCACCAATATACAAATAAAAATTTATGTAGAATAACTAACGATAAAGTTATAACAAAATAAAACAGCACGAAACCTGATACATATAAACGACATTTAGTTTCTTTTCTTTTTTAAACGTAGATAACAACGTACTTTAAGTGCAACGAACTCTTCAAAAATTATAATCCATTAAATGTTAAAAGCAATTCTGATGCAGAAAATTCCATTATAGAAGAAAAATATCAGAAATTTTTATAATTACAAAACAGATGTCTCTAAATAAGCATTTTTTTATGTTTAATGCTTAACAGTTTTAAATATTATTTTATTTATTTATAAACAATTAAATTAACATCGTTATTACTATTTTTAATGTCATTTAAATTTAAATTTTATTGCTTAAGTTTGTTAAATTAAATATTTAATATGATTTTAAATGAATTCTTAATTTAAATTTTACAAAATTTAATTTCGGAAAACGTCTATTACAGAATATCAGAACTATAAAAAAATAAAAATAAACTTTTACAGCTGTTATATTGTATAATCAATGTTTTTATTTGTATTTATTGTTTTATTTTTATGTATTTTATTATTATTTTGCCATATTTAAACTATTAGCGGTACTATTTATAAAATTCTAACTTGGTCTTTAATTTTTATCATCAACTTCCATATGTTTCTTATTTTCTATAGGCATAACTATGTTCATTACTGGAAGTAATAGAAGTTCGTGAAGGAATTTTTGGTATGATTAAACAAATTATTATTCTGATACAATTAATTTCGCCTATAGAAATCATTTAATCAAAATCCTTTGCTGTAGGTGACACTGTATTGTAATTACATAGTTTATGTTATCAATGATAACTACACCGGATGTAACTGAAGACTATATCTATGTCTTCTCTCAAATTACATTTGATATAGTTACAGAAAATAAGTATGAATTAGTTTATGAATCATACATTCGTATATATATGTATGTTGAATGTGTGTGTGCGTGCGTGAATGTGTATGTTCAGATACGCAAGATCGTATATCAATTTAGACTAGAGTTACAATAGCATTAGAAAAACAAATATCACTGAAGATTCTAAGCGCCTAACCTTAGAAAAACATAAATGATATTTTAATTTATAAAAAACAATTGGTGGAATGAAAATTGCAAGTTTGGTGAGATAAACCATTCTAAATGTCATTCAAATTGAATTTATGATTTATGAAGGAATGAGGAAAAATTTGTAAATGTTATTCTGTGAAAGAAAATACAATCTTGAATATTTTTTCCTGCTAGAAAATTAAAATTTATAACGAATTTTTCTAGAATGTTATGCTGGATTAACTTTGATACGCTTTTAAATTAATTTAGTAAAATTAAAATATTTAGAAATTTTTAATTAAATCAAATTTAATTTATATTTA